CGACAACCTTCAAACTTCCACCCAGCCTCCAACAGCCATCAGACTTCTACGACAGTCGTCAAACCACCGCTCGACCACTGATCCCTGCTAGACTACCACCGACCATCGATCGACGCTAGACTTTTGCCCGACCGTCATCAAACCACCACCAAACCGTAAAACACTACCTCTTGGCTCTCGATTATTGCAGGACTTTAGCCTGGCCATCACAAGACCATCATCTAACAGCCAACCATCGCCTGACCGCTGACCTCCACCACCTACCAATTATCCCTCAGACCATTGACGCTCCCTGACTATGGTCCTTCGGACCATAATCGTTGATCGACTATGGTACTTTTGACCATCATTGCCCATTGACTACAGTACCTCCGACATCGATCGCATGCCGATAATGGTTCTTCTAACACAGCCGCCCGCTGACTAAGGTTCCTCCAATCACAGTTGCCCGTAGACTACGATCCCTCTGACCTCCGTTACTCATCGACTACGGTCCCTCTGACCTTCGTCTCCTGTTTTTCTCCCACCGACTACGATCCCTTCGACCACCATTGTCGATCGATTACGATCCCTTCGACCTCCATCTCCCACTAACTATGGTTCCTCTGACCATTGTTATCCGCCGATTACAGCCCCTTTAATCACCGTCTCCCACCGACTACGGCTCCTCCTACCACCATCACCCCCAACTATGGTCCCTTCGACCTCTGTTGCCCGACGACTACGATCCCTCCGACCTCCGTCGCCCACTGATTAGGGTTCCTTTAATCACTGTCGTTTGCCGACTATGGTCCCTCCGACCTACGTCACCTGCCAACTACAATCCGGCCCCTTAGACCTCTGTCGCTTGTCGACTGTTATTCCTTTGACAACCATCACCCGTTAGTTACAGTCCCACCGACCAACATCGCCCGCCGACTACGCCCCCTCCGACCAACGTCATTGCCGACTATGCCCCCTCCTACCAACGTTGCTCGCCAACTATGATCCTTTCGAACATCGTTGCCTACCGACTAAGTACCCTCCAACCTCCCGTCGACCGATAATTTGGGTCCCTCTTACCACTGTTGCCCATCTACTATGATCCTTGTGAACTATGTCACTTGCCAATTACAGTCCCTCAGAGACCATCGCCCGTCGACTATGATCCCTACAACCAACATCGCCTGTCAACTATGGTCCCTTTGACCAACATCGTTAGCAGACTACGGTCCCTCCAACCAACGTAGACCACCGGTTACGATCTTTCTAATCACTGTTGCTCGCCGACTACGATTCCAACTATCTCCATCGTCCGCTGACTAAGGTCCTTACGACCACATTCATCTTGCCAACCAAATGAACAGGTCAAATTTCTCTTGAGAATGTCTCCCTTATCATTGGAATCTTTCAACCACCACTAGGTAATGCGCTTTATATGATGTATATTTACTACATCATGCCAAGGCTTCCCCCCCCGGTGAAAGGGCTTCATTTGAAATTTTCCACGTAAAAATTATGGTCTCTTATGAATCTCACATCCCTCTGTCTTATTTGTATGTGTGTTGGATCTTCGTACAAAGCTTGGATGCTAAATCATATATCTCTCGATCGCCGCAAATATTCTTGCCCGCAACAAATATTATTTTCTTGTAATAGAATTGTATTAGGAATAAATAATATAAATTTCTTAATAAATTAAAATTTTAAATTAATATTTAATTTAGGTAGTACTTACTTGTTGGCTAATATGATAAACTATTGCAGTAGTTTATTGGCTTCTATCTTCCTATTTCTTCTTTTTTTGCATATTTAAAATAAAATATTTCATGAAAAATATAAAAATATTGAAATGATAATGAATTATATTCTTATAAGTGAAAATTGTTATATTATTTTCTTTTAATAAATTCAGTGTTTATATCTTCCTATATATCTTTTCTAATATTTAAATTTTATCAAATATGTCATTTATTTATTTTCTTAAAAAATGTCTGAAAATATATATATCTTGAGGCATTTAATTCAAGGCAAAGGCTTTGTTTGGGACTGAGTTCATATTGCCTTCTAAAATAAATTTTTATTATAAAAAAATGTTAATTCAAGAAATTTTTTATTAAAAAGTTGCTTTTAAAAACAATAAGAAAGCAGTCCCAAACAAAGCCCAAGGTTTCATCTGGAACGGCTTCTTTATTACTTCTTAAAATAACTTTCTAGTACAAAAGTTAAAATTTTTGTGTGCTAAAACTGTTTTAAGTAGTAAGAAAGCCATCTAAACTTCTGTTTTTTTGGGACGACTTTCTTAGTGCTTCTTAAAACGACTTTTTAGAACAAAAATGTAAATTTAGTACTAAAAAGATGTTTTAAGAAGCTGAAAAAAAGTCGTCACAAACGAAACTTTAGTTTACATCTGCAACTCTGTCTAATTATTCAAGTTACCGTGTGCGCTATAAAAAGTAAAACCTAGAACAATATGACCCATTTATTAAGCCGGGCATGTTTGGGTCGATTAGATTCTGATCGGATCAGAAACCGACTCGTTAACCTATTTTGACAATCCTATTTGAAAATGAAATCTTTAATTAGAAAATATTTAATCAATATAAGTAGCACTAAATTAGTAAATTCATCCATTCCACTAGTTGAATCCAGATTTTTTTCCACTATAAACAGAATTATGTTACACAAAACCGCTCTCCCATCAGACCAGTTCTAACTACTAATCCATAAATAGTTACAGAGCATCCTCAAATCCATTCATCAGGATTTGTCTCTTCCCACTGTTGCCAGTTCCGCCCTCCGACGAGCTCAACGGCTGTTTTCGACGCTTCTGCGGTGACCGTATGCGTATACTGATGATTCTTGAAGGCTACATTTACACAGTTCTGCAAGTCCTGAAATTGGGCTTTTGGCTTCCGATAATTCCTTACGACGTCTTCTCGCCTCCGCCGCCACTGATCGCCGGTATGGTTGAGTTACCTCCTTTGCCGCATTTGTCTTCTTCAAATATCTCTGATCCGTTAATCGAGTTCGATTCGGTTAGATTCTGGCAATTTGATTTGGTTAGAATTATTCAATGAAAATCTGTTGACAATGTTGTTTGATTTCTTGGTTTAGGATCTAAATGGCTCATAATTCAAAGAAATATTCAAGCGCTAACTCTAAATTCCAGATTTTTTTAGGGACCATTTGATTTGCTGAAAAGAAGAAAGAGTTAAAAGAAATGTAACGTAAAAGAAAAATTGATTGTTTGATTTGATGAAAAAAAAGGATTATATTGTATGATTCCAGTGAACACATTATTCATTTTATCATTCCTTTTGATGTATCGTAAACTCACTCAGTTTTGACCAAATTCCTTTTCACGGCAAGCCAATCATATTATGTACGCCCGTCATCGCCGCCACTATCAATCACCGGTCATCGCCACCATCTGCCATGCACAAATGACCACCGTTGCCGATCGTCACCATCGTCGGCCACCTCAATTGTTTTGATTTAAACAACCCAATATGAATAATAAAGAAAATTCAAACAAAAACAAAAAATTTTCATGAAAACAATTTTTTTCATTCTGAATCTGAAGTATTCATACTTTAATTTCCCAATTAATTATTTTATATGAGTATGTAGATGCTACAAATTTAGATTTAGAAAGTGAAGGCATTATAAATATTATCCATCTCAGCACTGAATCAATAGATGTATATTTTTCCTAAAATGATACCAAATTCTATCTAAATATACATTCCAATATTGCTATTATATTAGGAGTGTAATCAATCATATCCATTAGACTGCCAAAAAAAATGTGATTTGCATATGGTTGTTCTAAATTATGCACTTATTTTCATTTAATTGTACTTTTTCTGCAATTCATCTTCAAAGATTTTTATAATTTTTACATAAAATGGCGATGTATTTAGATCTGTGTTTCAGTTGTTAACTTTATGAATATCTGAGAATACAACTGTGCTGAACTTTTAAGATGAAGCTTTTGAATTCCTGATCTTCAAAGAGGAAGCTTTTTAAGTCATGGCAGATTTGGATAGTTTGCTGCTTGAGGCTGCCGGTCGAACCAGCTCACCAACAAGGAAGAACCAAAGCAATGCCCATTCAAGATGGCGAGGAGAAGCTTCTGGTAGTGGATCCAATGAAGATGGTTCTGATAACTCAATTTTTAATAAGTGGAAACACTCTGGATAAAGATTCTCTCTGAAGAATAGTGTTGGAGACCCTCCAGAGAAAGGCAAGATGAGAAACTGGGAGAATGACAAAGATAAAAGGTTTAATGGTGATGAATATGATAGTGCACTATCTATTGAAAGTGATTTGTACAAAAATGAAGCATATAAGGAAGAGATGAGTAAGCTCTCAGAGCTAAATCGAGAGTTGATTCTTGCAACCAGGAGTGAAAAAATGGATGATTACCGCTTGAAGAAGAGAGGAACAGACTCATCAACTAAGGTGGAGAATTCTGAAAAAGAGTTCCCTCCACCTTTTCCTTCTCATGGCCATTCTTCTATCAGAACAGACAAACCTGCTGCAAAAATCAATGCATTAAACGAGCTACGAGCTAAGAGGACGAGGCAGCAAGAACCAAATTCTTACCGCAAGTATTCACTTGTAATCACTGTTCCTAAATTTGATTCAAGTGACAATAGTGATGATGGAAAAGAAGACAAATTATCTGAAGATAACGACATTGATGATAATTTAGATGATTTAATGGCATCTAAGTTGAGACCAATTAGGCATGAAGATGTAAAAGAAATAACCATTCGTAGATCAAAGCTGGCTAAATGGCATATGGAACCTTTCTTTGATAAAATAGTTGCAGGATATTTTGTTAGAGTTGGTATTGGGATGACTCGCAAAGGTCCAAAATACAGGCTTTGTGTAGTCAATAATGTCGATGCAACTAACCAAAATCGACAGTATGAATTCGAAGGTCGAACAACTTGTAAATGGTTGAACTGTATATGGGCAGCGAAGCATCAGCAGCCAGATGACAAATGATTATGGTTTCTAACTCTCCACCAACAGAGGAGGAATTCAAGGAATGGCTAAGAGAAATGGAACGTAATGGAAGACATATTCCTTGCCTACAAGAAATTGATGCGAAGAAAGAAGAAATTAAAAAGACTGGCACTTTTGTATATTCACCGAGAACTGTGAAGAAGATGATATAGATAAATAAATCATCTTCTTCAAGGCCAATCAATGTTGCAGTCGAAAAGATCCGTTTGAAGGCTTCCATTGAAACTGCAGAGAGTGCTGGGAAAGAAAGTAAGGCAAGTAGGTTGCGTGCGAAGCTGAAGGAGTTGGAGGATTTGTCTAGACAAATTAATCCAGCTGATGCAAGGTCTTTCAGATTGTTGGAAATGAACCGTAAAAATAGAGCAGAGAATTATAAAAAAGCATCAGAAATGAAGCCAGTTGATACAAACTTAAAGTTTGGTGAAGAAGGTTATGATCCTTCCGCCAGAAAATGGACTAAGCCTCTTCTTCAGTGTGTGGTTTATAGTAATAAAGAAACCACAAATGTTGATCATGATACTAACAAGCCTGAAGAAGCTGGCAAAGCAGCCCTTGTGGCAGCCATGGAGGAGGCTAAAGATGAAGGAAAATTGATTGACACCAGACCTCCAGTTGATCATGGTGAAGAACTAATTGCTCTGCATAATTTTGACTTGCCGATTTCATTGGCAGCTCTGAACAAATATCAAGGAGCTGAGGGTGTTCAACGTGGCTTCATGGAAAGAAAGCGGAAGATAGAAGCAACCATTGGGCATGCAGTGCCTGACGAATATGAAAAAAGTAAAGGATTCACACTCAGCATCAGTGACTACAAGAGACGCAAAGGTTTCATTTTGGGTACTTAATCTGGTAGTTGAGCTATGCAGGTTCATTCCATTCAGCTTTAGTCAAAATTTATTTCTTTATTATTATCTTTTTTACGGTAGATTTTAGTCTAAATAGGGAAAATAACATAGAAATTTCCTCACAATGCTACTCTATGTTAACTTCAGGTGCTAATTTATAGTTTTTTTTAATGTTTTTGTGCTAAATAATGATAGATTATGTATTTGCATATGGGAAATTTTTTTTAGCATGGATGTTTTTTATTAAGGCTTCGTTTGAGACAGCTTTTGTACTACTTTCTAAATAAATTTCTAGTATAAAATTTTCTAATATAAGAAAATTTTGTACTTCAGAGTTGTTTTAGAAAGTAAAAGTTTGTCCCAAACGAGTCTTTGAATTTGTCTTGAGATGAGTATAATATATGAAAAGACAATCAAAATATGTAGTACATTGATTTAAAAGCAAATTTAGCTGCTTTGAGATGCATCGTGAAGAAAAATTTGATTATAATTTCTTTTTTTGATTTTTTTTTCATTTTGTGTGTCATTATCTATGAAATGATAGTGTCAAAAATATCAATATAAATCTCAATATTATAATATATATGTTGACATATAATTTAATAAATTTATATGTATATTAAAATGTTTATACTAGAAAAACATTTTAGGCAGCAGTACGGAAGCTGTCCCAAACCAAGCCTTAGTAAAAAATATCCATATTACAAAATTTTCCCATATTTAAATACATAATCTATCATTATTTAGCACAAAATCATTAAAAAAAACTATAAATTAGCACCTGAACTGAACATGGAGTGGCATTGTAAGGAAATTTCAAAGCTATTTTCACTATTTACAATAAAATCTATCATAAAAAAGATAATAATAAATAAATAAATTTTGACCAAAGCTGAATGGAATGAACCTGCATAGCTTAACTACCAGTCTAAGTACCCAAAATGAAACCTTTGCGTCTCTTGTAGTCACTGATGCTGAGTGTGAATCATTTTCTTTTTCCATACTTGTCAGGCACTGCATAATGCCCAATGGTTGCTTCTATCTTTCGCTTCCTCTCCATGAAGCCTCGTTGAACGCCCTCAGCTCCTCAATATTTGTTCAGAGCAGCCAACGAAATCAACAAGTCAAAATTATGCAGAGCCATTAGTTCTTCACCATGATCAACCGGAGGTCTAGTGTCAATCAGTTTCCCTTCCCTTTAGCCTCCTCCATGGCTGCCGCAAGGTCTGCTTTGCCAGCTTCTTCAGGCTTCTTAGTATCATGATCAACATTTGTGGTTTCTTTATTACTATAAACCACACACTGAAGAAGAGGCTTAGTCCATTTTCTGGCGGAAGGATCATAACCTTCTTCACCAAACTTTAAGTTGGTATCAACTGACTTCATTTCTGATGCTTTTTAATAATTCTCTGCTCTATTTTTGCGATTCATCTCCAACAATCTGAAAGACCTTGCATCAGCTGGCTTAATTTGTCTAGACAAATCCTCCAACTCCTTCAGCTTTGCACGCAACCTATCTGCCTCACTTTCTTTCCCAGCACTCTCTGCAGTTTCAATGGAAGCCTTCAAACGGATCTTTTCGACTGCAACATTAATTGGCCTTGAAGAAGATGATTTATTTACCTCTATCATCTTCATCGCAGTTCTCAGTGAATATACAAAAGTGCCAGTCTTTTTAATTTCTTCTTTCTTCGCATCAATTTCTTGTAGGCAAGGAATCTGCCTTCCATTACGTTCCATTTCTCTCAGCCATTCCTTGAAATCCTCCTCTGTTGGTGGAGAGTTAGAAACCATAATCATTTGTCATCTGGCTACTGATGCTTCGCTGCCCCATATACAGTTCAGCCATTTGCAAGTGGTTCGACCTTCGAATTCATACTGTCGATTTTGGTTAGTTGCATCGACATTATTGACTACACAAAGCCTGTATTTTTGACCGTTGCGAGTCATCCCAATACCAACTCTAACAAAACATCCTGCAACTATTTTCTCAAAGAAAGGTTCCATATGCCATTTAGCCAGCTTTGATCTACGAATGGTTATTTCTTTTACATCTTCATACCTGATTGGTCTCGACTTAGATGCCATTAAAGAGTTATCAGAACCATCTTCATTAGATCCACTACCAGAAGCTTCTCCTCGCCATCTTGAATGGGCATGGGTTTGGTTTTTCCTTGTCGGTGTGCTGGTCCGACCGGCAGCCTCAAGCAGCAAACTATCCAAATCTGTCATGACTTCAAAAGCTTCCTCTTTGAAGATCTGGAATTCAAAAGCTTCCTCTTTGAAGATCTGGAATTCAAAAGCTTCCTCTTAAAAGTTCAACACAATTGTATTCTCAGATATTCAAAAAGTTAACAACTGAAGCACCGATCTAAGTACATCGTCATTTTTTGTAAAAACTATAAAAATCTTTGAAGATGAATTGCAGAAAAGGTACAATTAAATGTAAATAACTGCATAATTTAGAACAACCATATGCAAATCACTTTTTTTTTGCAGTCTAATGGATATGATTGATTACACTCCTAATATAATAGCAATATTGGAATGTATATTTAGATAGAATTTGGTATCATTTTAGGAAAAATATACACTTATTGATTCAGTGCTGAGATGGATAATAATAATAATGCCTTCACTTTCTAAATCTAAATTCGTAGCATCTACATGCTCGTATAAAATAATTAATTAGTAAATTAAAGTATATCAATTATAATAATGTAATTAGGTGGAATATTTCAGATTCAGAATGAAAAAAATTATTTTCATGAAAATTTTTTATTTTTGTATGAAATTTCTTAATTATTCATATTGGGGTTGTTTAAAGCAAAACAATAATATAGGTGGATGGCGATGGTGACGATAGGCAACGGTGGTCATTTGTGCATGGCAGATGGTGGCGGTGACAGGTGATTGGTAGTGGCGGCAATGACGTGCGGACATAATGTGATTGGCTTGCCGTGAAAAGGAATTTGGTCAAAACTGGGTGAGTTTACGATACATCAAAGGAATCATAACATGAAAAATGTGTTCACTGGAATCATACAATATAGTCCTTTTTTTCATCAAATCAAACAATCATTTTTTCTTTTATGTTACATTTCTTTTTACTCTTTCTTCTTTTCAGCAAATAAAATGGCCCATAAAAAATCTGGAATTTAGAGTTAGCGCTTGAATATTTCTTTGAATTATGAGCCATTTAGATCCTAAACCAAGAAATCAAACAACATTGTCAACATATTTTCATTGAATAATTCTAACCGAATCAAATTGCCAGAATCTAACCGAATCAAACTCGATTAACAGATCAGAGATATTTGAAGAAGACAAATGCGGCAAAGGAGGTAACTCAACCATACCGGTGATTAGTGACGGTGGAGGCGAGAAGACGTCGTAAGGGATTATCGGAAGCCAAAAGCGCAATTTCAGGAGTTGCAGAACTGTGTAAATATAGCCTTCAAGAATCGTCAGTATACACATACGGTCACCGGAGAAGCGTCGAAAACAGCCGTTGAGCTTGTCGGAGGGCGGCACCGGCGACAGTGAGAAGAGACAAATCCTGATGAATGGATTTGAGGATGCTCTGTAACTATTTATAGAGGTTTTTTTTTTTTGGACGATAAGTAGTTGGAATCGGTCTGATGGGAGAGCAGTTTTGTGTAACAGAATTCTGTTTATAGTGGAAAAAAATCCGGATTCAACTAGTGGAATGGGTTAATTTACTAATTTAGTGCTACTTATATTGATTAAATATTTACTAATTAAAGATTTTATTTTCAAATAGGATTGTCAAAATAGGTTAACGAGTTGGTTTCTGATCCGATCAGAATCCAATCGACCCAAACATGACCCGCTTAATAAATGGGTCCAAAATTTGGATTCGAACCAATGATAAGATCTCCTTCAGATCATATTCGAATCTTCTTCGATGTTCGATCAGACCTTCAAATTATGAGCAATTCTTACTTGAACCTTAGTCAAATAGGGTTCTAAATTTGATCTAACGTTTTTCGAACATTGTTCGAATCTTACTAAAATTTTTGAATAAGGTTGGAATAAGATTTATTCAACATTTGAAAAATGCAATGTGAGATGTCATATTGTTCTAGGTTTTGGTTTTTATTGCGCACATGGTAACTTGAATAATTAGACAGAGTTGGAGATGTAAACTAAGGCTTTGTTTGCGACGATTTTTTTCCTGCTTCTTAAAGCAGCTTTTTACTACTAAATTTAAATTTTCGTACTAAAAAGTCGCTTTAAAAAGCAATAAGAAAGCCTTCCCAAACAAAGCAGAAATCTGGGACGGCTTTCTTACTACTTCTTAAAGCAGTTTTAGAGTACCAAAATTTTAATTTATGTACTATAAAGTTATTTTAAGAAACAATAAAGAATCAGTTCCAAATGAAACCTTAAGCTTTGTTTGGGATTGTTTTCTTACTATTTTTAAAAGCAACTTTTTAATAAAAAATTTCTTAAATTAAATTTTTTTTATAATAAAAAATTATTTTAGAAGCAATACGAATAGAGTACCAAATTTTAATTTTTGTACTATAAAGTTATTTTAAGAACAATAAAGAATCAGTTCCAAATGAAACCTTAGGCTTTGTTTGAGATTGTTTTCTTACTATTTTTAAAAGCAACTTTTTAATAAAAAATTTCTTAAATTAAAATTTTTTATAATAAAAAATTATTTTAGAAGCAATACGAACTCAGTCTCAAACAAAGCCTTTGCCTTGAATTTTGCCGAAGACTGATCTTACATGAACGGCAATCACCAGAGGCTGATCATACAGTAGGAAGAGGAAGTGTTGAAAAACTACCAGCTCAAAAGTTTGTGTGATTGACTGCTTGATGTTCCCTTTGCATTTTGATTCAAGATATATATTTTTTCAGACATATTTTTTAC